AGGACCTGCTCTACAGAGGTGATGCTTTTCCCTGTCTCGGGGGTGGGATTTTTACAGGTTTATTTATTACTCACCGTCCGCATTTGTTGAACCTCTGAGCCCTCCTGTTTTGGACCGCTGATTTGATCAGATGACTGACTGTCATCAGTCATGACCCATTGCACCAGCAGCGGCAGAGATTAGCAGGCCTGCTGACTATGTCCCTACCCTCAGACAGCAGTGCCACAAACTCTGTCTGTCCTCATGTAGAACAGCTGCGCTGCAGGGAAGTACGCTTTCTGGGGTACCTGCATGTTTGCATCTATTTTGCAGTATTACATCTTCTTCAGGCTGAGAAGTGTTAAAGCTTTCCTTAGGCCATGATCTAACTCCATGTTTCTCTTTATCCATAGCAAAACTGGTTTGAAAATTCCCCTTCCTTACCCCTGCTCTCCTGTGCACTGCGCTCCCCATGACTGCAACGTGCTGGGATATCTGTGCTGGGATATCTGTACTGGGAACTTTCCCCATTGACAAGCCTGCCAAAGCCGTACCTCCCTTTCCTTCCCTGTTCTGAGTAAGGAAGAAAAGGGACTAGTGGAATAATGAAGTGGCAAATTGTTCCTTGAGATGGAAGCCTTTCACTCTACATTTACTGAGATTAGAGGAAAATGAGAAAGTAGAGATAATGGAAAGTAGGGAACATAGTATTAGTCCATCAGGCGTACTGATGGTCTAGACACTGCTGGGGAGTCAGAGGAGCAGGGAAGCCTCACTGTGACTCCTGCTTCTTTACCTCATTCTACCTAGGCTTAATATTTCATAGGTATGTAATACAATAGTTATTTTAATTACATTTGGAGGAATGCGGCTTTTTTCTAGGCAAGGCAGAGATTGGCATGTGGGCCACCTTTGACTCATTGTGTCCAATTATTTTGTCAAACCATCATATACCATTACATATTCTAAAAACCACCAAGAGTACTTTATCCTGCAAATGTGACCTCAAAACTTGAATCTGTCTGTTGCAAACGGTTGGTCAAAAGGAAAATGGTACATTACAGAGTGACCTTCAATGGAGTTTTCATCTTTTATTTATAATTGGATTTATTATTGCAAGCTCCTGTTGCACACCAGCTATCAAACCCTTAGCAGGTGTAAATCAGCACTCAGGTTAATGGAGCTAGACTGATCACCACCAGATGAGGATACAGCTCTACTTGTAACCCAGGGATAAAATGCAAGCTTCTTTGTAGTGCTGAGGCTCTGAGAGTTAGAACAGACTGGCTGGTGAATTACTGGTTAGCTGAACATGAGAAGAAAATGTATTTCAACCCCAATCCATGCTCAGGCAACTAACTTTGCTGCTTCCACACATCTTTAGGGAAGAGCATTCGTGGAAAACAACTTGAAGATACATGTTGTCAGGGTAAAGGAGGGCCCATGGGCTAAGCACAGAAGCCTTTTAAACTGTGCAAACTGTCAAAAGGATGATTACTTCTGGCAAAGGTCATTCTCATGTACAAAGAGGAAAATGCATCCTTTTTCAGGGGAAGATACAAGGGCCTTCTTGTGTAAGCTGTTTCCCAAGACCTTTGCTTTCTGAGCCTCCCCAGAAAGGGAGGGAGGTCAGACTTGTGACAAGGCAAGGAATAGGAGCAGAGAAATTGTAATTTATCTTGATTTACTGTCTAATTAAGAATTCCTCTTAATAGAAAAATCTTCCAGAAACAGGAAGGAGCTGCAGGAATGGAGCTTCACTGAGCAGGTGTGGGTGGCAGAGCCTTCTTTTATTACTAATCAGCATAGTTATGCCATTTATAGAAAAGGACATGAGGCTGTGCAAGGAACTTTCTAAAGAAGAAAAATACATCCCTGCTTTGAAGAGCAAGCGAGCTACATAGGGTGGCCTGTAAGAAAAGCCTCATAACAATGCCCCCCTCTCTGAGTGAAAGCAGGAGGTGAAAGTGGATTTACGTGGTCCTCCCAAGGCGCTCTCAAATTCTGTTAGGAAGAACGAGAAAGCCTGTGAAAAGCTGAGCAGTCAGGTAATCTGGACTTGAGAGCCTACAGCAGCAGCTGGCATTTGGCCATAGTGTGGGGCAGGTACTGCTCAGAGGCGCTGCAGTAGTCTGAGAAGCTGCGAAGCAGGACCGGGCTGCTGAGTCCGGGCCCCTGAATTCTGAAGTGATATACTTAGAGAGCGTGATGGGACGAGTGGAGCACATAGCAGCAAATATCAGGAAATCACTAAAAGAGAAGTAACCCCTTTTCTATCCAGTGGAAACTTCTATAAATGATCGGTGAGCACTGCTACGGCATGCGGTGCTTGAGGCAGCTTCACTCCTGTTGTTCCCTTTCACTCATGAGGTTAAAGTCAGACACAGCAATGCTAGGAAACGTACGCACACTGTCTATAGGGTTAGTTTCAAATGCAGAAATGGCACTTAAATGTCCAGATGCCCAGTCCAGAGTCTGAGATTTTAAGCGCCAGCTCCATGATTTCAGCTAAAGGTGATTATTTTAGCTGCCGATGATACAGCCATAGATACACGCTGAATGTAGTAACTGCATGTAGTAGACGAATGTAATGCAATAACTGAATATAAAAGGTTTTCTAGTTTTCAGTCTGTGGTTTCCAGGAAGAAAAAGTGATTTATTTTTTTATTGGCTATCTAACCATTTTAAGATCAAAGTGCATTAGGTCTTATGAAATAAACAAAAAGTTCTTGAAATGAAATAAATTAGGAAAGCTTGCACTTACAAAATATGTTTCTTTAAAAGGTTGCCAGGCAGTAACACTTTCCCTAAATCTTTGGCGTCATTAGAATAATTAAAAGCAGTGGTACAGTGCTTTTCAGTTGAAGTAATGTCAAGCAGGCAGAAGGTGCACCCTGCGCTGGACCATGCCCGGCAATCTCCGTTTCCTGACTACAGCACAGACCGGCTGCTGTGTCTGCATGCGCGATTCCCTTTCTCGTATTTCTTCTCTTAATAATATTGCAGCCTTAATGTCTGTCCCGCATGTATGCTTTATGTAGAGCATGGTTAATATTGAAAAGTGTTATTTGCATCTGAAGATAGTGAAGTCTTTTCTGATTAGGAGGCAGGTTTCTTGGAGTTCTGTAAGAAACATATTTTCTTTTCCATCCAGTTATAATGATCATGTGAGACATGACAAGGAAACAGGAGTGCTGGACCAAAAGCCATCTGTTTCTTTTTTTGGTATTTCATATTGCATGGAGCAAGAAGGTGGCAAAGCTTATATGCTTAAACATGGGGGTATAAAATATGATAGTAACATTTAACATGCTGTAAAGAAATCTCTTTGAACTAAACCCAGATTTTTTTGTTTTGTTTTGTTTTTACGAGGACCTCTTACCACAGCTATAGTAAAACTGGCTGCCACTTGTGTTTGTGAAGACTTTGATTTCAAGATATTTTATGTATTTAGTTTAGACAATGCAGTGGGTGGAAAGTAGGCTTCCATTCCTTAAAATAAGTAGTTTCTTCTTCAAAATTCTGATACTGCTTTTTAAATTATTATTATTATTCCACATTGTGCCATTCCTGAGACTACTTTTATAAGTAAAGCTTGATTTCAGTCTAAAAGCTGAAGTTTACTGCTAATTCTGGAGATAGAATGTAAACATTGAATAGATTTCATTGATATTTAACTTTATGAAATGTAGCCTTTTGCATGCACAGTTAGACTTTTGGTATTCTCAGGTATGTTCGTACCAAAGCCTAGCAGTGCTTTACTCTGCAGTTTATTCTAACCAACTCTATTTTGTCCTTTTTATTTCCGCTTGCCATATGACCTTCTACTGCATTTACCCAAAGGATGGATTTCCACCCTGCAGAATGCATAATGGGGGTTTAGTTAGCAATAAGCTCCAGTGGTTGTTTTTAAAAGCCATACTCCGGTGCTAGATTTGAAAGAACAGCACTGAAAAAAAGGTGTTTGTGCACATCTTGTACTAGCATTAACACACTCGTACCCAACCCCTTCTCTGCTTTCCTCTCACACATTCTGTACCTTTGCAGCCTTCAATTGCATCATTTAGCTGCAGTATCCCTACTGGGGACGACGAGATTAAAAAGTACCGCCGTAAATATACCTGGAACTTAGAAAGGAAAGGGAAATAATTGCCCTCTTTCATCTCAGAACTGAAGTGCCTTTTCAATCAAAGACATTTCCACTGCTTGCTAAAGACTATTCAGATAAGAAGAATACGTTTGGGATATTTGGGCTAGTTAGCGCTCACTTCCCTTTTTTATTTCATTGACAGAATAGCCCTCTTTGTAATATCGCCCAATTTTTTAGACCTCTGTAAAAGTTTAGGTCAGTCTTGGAATCCTGTGCTTTTGTTGGCCTGTCACCAGCTGGATCACGTTTATAGAGAGTCTATTTTTTCCCTTAACTACTTGCATAGCCCGTTTTCTCTTTTGTGGTGCAAGCCAGAATTCCTGGAAGCAGGTTTTACTGCCTGCGGGATCTTGAAGGCGGCCTTCTCCATGGACGTTTCCCTCTTCGACTGGCTAAATGCCACACTGTGATTTATAATTTATTCAGTGGATCCATTACTGATTCTCTGTATATGTTTTTTGTCTAGACTGAGGAAGGGCAAAAAGTCATTCCGCCTAAATCTTCTTGGGAGCTGTCAGAGACAGGCATCCTCTCACAGATACAAGAAGTAGTGACTGCTGGCTTTAACAAAATTGCACAAGAGTTTAAAGATATTTACTCTTCAAAAGATAAAACAGTATCAAAAGAGGAGTTCTGGGATATATGTAACTGACATTTTCAGCGGCTGACTGAAGAACAAGTAAGAAAACTATATTATTTTGTCTTGTTAATTTAAGTGTACAATTGGGTAAATTGGCTATGGCTAGAGACATGTGTTTGCATACTGCTGTGTATAGGCAAGTAGTTTAAAAATTTGGATGAATTGAAAATGTTTTAAGATTATCATTCCATGAACATTTGTTGCTACATTTGTGGGAGATTATTTTTTTCCTTATCTCTGAGTATGGTTATGAACTATAATAATCACAGGCTTTCTAAACCAAAGTCACAGAGATGCTATTGCTAATAGCGAAGGTGTGAATTTAAAGCACAGTAATTCTCTTTCACTAGCTCTTTATCTGTATATTTGCTATTTTAAAGTTTCTTTTTTCAATTTTAAATTAATCCACTTCCAGTTGATGGGGAAAAAAGCCCTCTCAGCATGGAATAAAAAGTATTTCCATGGGGAGCTAATGCAAATTCCTTTTTCTCAGTAGCTATTTTGTCCTGCCTTCCTTGGACAAAGAAAGGGGCAAGCATTTGACATTTCCCAGCCACCTCTCAGCTACTTTTCTGGGTTAAAGATTCCCCGAGATTAGCATTAGCAGAGTTTATGTAACCTTGAATTTAGCTTGAGTGACTGAAGTCATAGCAAGAATCTGGGAGAACAAACCATCTGATTAGCCCAGTGCTAATCTCGGGGGAACCTGGGAGGCTGGTATTTCATACGATTCTGCTTCTGCTGAACTTAAAATGAAAAGAGCCATTTTTTTAATCTTTGCTAATGCTGGTTCAACGTGATTTCTCCTAGTCCAAAGACTAGGTGAATAATGAAACAGAGGGAACCTTGACTGAAAGATTTCATATTTTACTTAACAGCACTCTAACCTTCATGCTCATGATTGTATTAATGCCATTTGGCAGCAAACTGAAAGACAAGACACAGAGCCTCCAAACTCGTATGCATGTCTGCACTACAGAAAATTATTTCAGTACTTTGCTCATTGCAGATATACCTTCTGAGTTCTTGACCCAGCATTTTTGACTATAAATTGCAGACAGGAGCAGGGCCTGCTTGTAATTACAGCAAAGAGATTGCACAATCTGCCATGTTATCAGGCGCTGCTACGCATGTCTAAAGTTGCAGGTGAAAGCACTGAAAAAAAAAAAAAAGGTTTTCCACTTTCCCCTTGACAACAGCAGAAAAAACCCAAAATGGCCTGTGTGCTCTATTCCTAGTAGCCACACTTCTGGTGAGGTACCCAGAGCAAGTGCCAGATCTGAACCAGGATCCTCAACACCAGGCGAAAGCAAAAGTGGAAATGTGGTGATGCTCTATCCTCATCCCTGTGAACCACGGAGCAGAAGCACCAGGGTGAGCTCACAGCTGAGCCCTGGCCGAGGCAGGAGAACACACACCTTCCTGAGCTGTGAAAAATCTCTTGGGTTTTTTTTTTTTTTCTTTTTTGGAAGCAGTAAGGCAGACATCTCTGGATGAAGAGTCCTCCAGACTAGATCCTGTCTACTTTATGCTCAAGAAGAAGCGAAGGGACACAGGAGCTATTTTATACTTAAAAGAACCTCAGACAAGTGAAGAAAAAAAATCTTGATAGAAACTGTCATCCATAATAGCAACGAGAAGCAGGCCTGAGGAGCCTCATTTATATAAGCAGCAGCCTCTGTGTGAGTGAGACTCCAGCCCTGTATCTCCAGAGATATTTTGATTTTGACAGGCCTCTCAAAGATATGCCTACGTATATCTATATGAAGATGCCCCAGGAGAGCCTTCCAATCTGGGTACAGGGTTTGCCACTGCCAATCCAAACCCCTGCCATTCTGGCTGTTGTTGCTGCTAAGAGTTGTTACGGAAGTGTTACTAACAGTCATAGTCTGGATGACTTCACAGAAAATGTCTTCTTTTATCCTTTTCTGGATAATGGCCACTTACTGTTTGCTATTCGCAAGGCTCAGCTGGAGTCTGTATTGAGTAGTGGATGAAGAACTTCTTCCTGAAATTTGGCTTCTTGGCCCTCTGAATTTCTGATACTGAATTTCTGATACTTGGCCTTCTGAATTTCTGATTCCCTCAAGCAGATCAACTGGGAGTGTTGATCTCCTGGAGGGTAGGAAGGCTCTCCAGAGGGATCTGGACAGGCTGGATCGATGGGCTGAGACCAACGGCATGAGGCTCAACAAGAACAAGTGCTGGGTCCTACAATTCGGCCACAAAAACCCCATGCAGTATTACAGACTCGGGGAAGAGAGGTTAGAAAGTGGTCAAGTGGAAAAAGACCTGGGGGTGCTGGTTGACAGCCGGCTGCACATGAGCCAGCAGTGTGCCCAGGTAGCCAAGAAGGCCAATGGCATCCCA